AAGACAGAGGGAAAGAAGAGTGAAGGCGAGAAGGCAAAGGAGAAGAACCACAAGAAGGAAGAGAAGGCAGATGGGAAGAAGAAGGAGGAAGCTAAGGTGGCAGAGAACAAGAAGAGCAAGAAGAATGAAGAGGAAACTGAGAAGGCAGGGGCAAAGAAGAAGGCAAAGAAAAAGCCACCATCGGAAGACAGCAGCTCAGATTCAGATGAATCAGAAGCAGACGAGGAGGATCAAGAGCCATCCTCAGAGAGCAGCTCCGATGAAGACGACAAAGAGGATGAAGATGAGAGAAAGGAAAAGAAGCAAACGCCAACAGAGGCACAGGTTGCTGCTGGCAAGAAGAAGAAAGAGGAGCCAGAAAAGGGAAGCAGTTCAGATGGAGATGAAAATGAAGAGTCGGGCGATGACAGCAGCATCGCAGGGTCGAGCAGCAAAGACGAGGATGCAAGCTTGGCGAATTCGGATGAGGAAGAGGAGGAAGAAGAGGAAGAGGAATCTGAAGAGGCAACAGCACCAAATGCTGGCATCCTCAAGAAGACAAAGATTGATGATGGCAGTGAGGACGAAGAGGAGGAGGAGGAGTCAACTGAGGTTGAGGCAAAGAAGAATGATGATAAGAAAAAGATGAAGAAGGCAAAGAAGGACAAGAATGCAGAGACGGTTGAGGAGAAGAAGGACAAGAAGGACAAAAGGAAGGAGTCAGAGAAGGTTGCAAAGAAGAGCAAGAAGGAAAAGAAGGACAAAGATGATGGCAAGAAGAGCTCACCAGAAAGGAAGACAGAGGAGAAGAAGAAGGCAAAGAAGGAGAAGCGTGGTGAGGAGGAAGGTGAAGGAGGCAAGAAGAAAAGAAAGAAGCTCAAAGAAGCGGAAACGGCATTGGCAAAGCGACACAAAGGTGAAGAAGGTGAAGAAGCTGAAGAAGGTGAAGATGAAGAGGATAGCAAAGAGCCAAACTCTGTGTCTCACCGCGCGGAGTGGCAAGCGTTTGGGCGCTATCTCAAAAACAAGAGAAGGTGCCCGGCCAAGCTGGCTGCTGCAGCCCAGAATGAGGACTGGGGGTTCTCTAATGGTTGGTATAGAGTTCCACTTCCATGTTGATGGGTGAGAGTGTCTACAGTACATCACCCCAGCCCCAAAGAATTTGTTGGTAGGGTTATGTGGGGGTGACTGCTTCTGACATATGCTTTCAATTGTTAATCATCCAACTTTCCATCAGGAGACCAGAAACAAGCTCTTTCTCACGTACATCGAGAACAATCGCAACACCCAAGCGGTGGAGGCCAAGTTCAAGGCCATGCTGGTTGAGAGCACCAAAACGTCTTTGCGGTATGGCTTTCGGAATGAAATCTGGCTCCGAAAGCATCATTGGGACCGCAAAGCCGAGTCCATCATGAAGCGTAAGAAGGAGTTGGGATTGTTTCTCAGCCTATATTATGTACATGATGTACATTATATCATTATGTATTCCTATCTTATTGTACCACCAGTTCTCCACACTTTCCCAAAGCCTGGACCACCATCTCTCAGCACCTTCCCGAAAGCCTGGCCTCCAATTTATGGAAAGCTGAAGGGTTCCGTCCTGCGCCAAGGACTATCCCGGACCCGGAGTGTCCAGGAGAGCCTGATGAGGTGCTTTTCTGGGTCATGGTGGAATTCAACTTGGATGACATCAAGGAGTTGCGAAGGGTGACCGAGCTAGAGCTTTCTGGCAGTCTTGATGCCGATGGTGTCAAAGCATTTGTCGATGCCCTTCGGTTGAAAACATCTTTCAACATGCGCTGGAATGTCGACCCCCTTTGGGTGAAAACATGTTTCAACATGTGTTGGAATGTTTTGTGCTCTGAAAGCATCCCCGCATCATCCTAAGGCTGGAGGATGTTTGGATGGCAAGCAACATCTTAGCATCGGAGAGTTGGCAGGGAACAAGGGGATGAAGACCCTAGCTGGGGCAATCGGAAACGGAGATGGTAAGAAAGGTAAGAACAACAAGAAGCCCAAGAACAACAAAACTGAAGCCAACGGCAAAGAAGGAGAAGAGGAAAAAAAGGCTAGCTTCCAAACTTGTGTTGTTTCCTTCTGGCTGTATACTGTGCCTGGTTGTTACCTTTCAGGTTCATGTGGATTCACCCCTGGAGAAGGCTGAGACCTTGTTGGGAAAGGTCCTGAAGGACATCAACACTTGCAGGTTCCTTGCCAATAGGATCCAGTAGGCTTTGTTTGCAAAACCACCCATAGGACTATAGCGGTATAGACCTCTGCAACTAAGGGAATTGGCCTTCAAATTGCGGCCCCTTTCGCTTTCCAATGACCTGATGAACCAATTGGAAGCATGCGCGGCATCCCTCTCCCGGCAAGCGGAGCTGCTCCAGGGCAAGATTAAGAGCAAATGCAATAAGAACCGCCACTACAAGGACATCATTTCAGAGGTTTGCTTTTGTTGCCAACAAGTCTTCAAGTGTTCAGTGCTGTTTGCCCACAATGCTTCATGTAACACCCTGTGTTCCTGGAGGTGACAGAACTAACAGAGATCGCGAAGGAGCGTGGTGATCTTGCTAAGGCGTTGATCCGTGCTTCTGCCAAATCGGCGAAGCCGGCAGTCAAGAGATCGGACAAGGCTGATAAAGTCTGACAAGTCTGACAAATCTGACAAGGCCACCGCTGCCAAAGGCAGCTCGACCTGATTCTTTTTGTGTGTAGATCTTCGGAGTGGTTGTTTTTGGGATAGAGCCCGCTATATGATGAGGTGCAACCCACTACTCGCCACTCGATCTAGTTTTCGGGGTCTGAACGCTGCCTGCCTTAGATCCTATAGACACCACCCTTCAATAGCCGTATCTGGATGTATCTAGTGTAAACTGTAAACACATCATGTGATGCTAGGGGGCGTTCAGCTGTTCAGTGCACGGGATTACCTGTGTGCCACTGGGGTGCAACTCAAAGCAAATTTGGCCGGAGAACAACGCTTGGCTGCCCGGAAACCCTGTGGCGCAAGAGGCCCATACACCAAACTTCTCTTGGAGTGGCCATCCCGCGCAGGTCCACCACCCGATCGAGATCTCCTCGCAGAAGGACAAGCCATGATGATTCGAAGGGCGCCTCGCCTGAGCACGAATGGCAACAGGTCAAACTTTGTGAAACCATTGGACCATGCATGGTGTCACACCGTGTCACACCACAACCTCGAAACTTTGGGAAACCATGGTGAGGTATGGTGGCCACGGCTTCTTGCTCTTCCCGGAGGATGCTACAAAAGATCTGTTCTGGCGCCTGGGGTCTCAGTGGGGCCATCAGCCATCAGTTGTTGAATCAACAATACGCAAGAGACTCTATTTATGGACTGTCTATGGAGGCCCCAAACTGTCCTGTCGATGGGGTTCCAGGTTCCAGCTAGTGCTCAAACCATTCTGCGCCTCACACATGTTTACCTCCCAGGCTTCAACGGCGACCGATGCTTGCAGAGACGCTGCAGCACTTCTTCAAGATGGTGTTTGTTGCCCTTTGGCGCAAGAAATGGGAAGATGGCATGAAGGGGGTCATCCCCTACGGTCCTTTTGCAGGCTGGTAGTAGAGCCAAAACTTGTTGTTGTTTGAACAGTTTGTTTGATGGTAAAGTCTGTTATCAAAAACCCTGAGGTGGCGTGACAAAGTATGTGACATCAAACCACATGAAATTCAAATCCCTCTTCTAGTGGGTGACAGAGAAGAACCCGAGTGCCCAACGCATATTCTATGGCCATGGGACGTGTTGCGCGTCTTGTACCAACAGAATCAGCTTGAACATTGGATAGCTGATGAACCAGAGCGTGCTGGGGTCATGACAGCAGAGTATTGGCACCACAGCAAACATTTAGAGTTCTTCGAAAGACTCAATCTACAAGAGTCAGATTTTGGCTCTTGTATACCACTCTTTTTCCATGTGGACGCAGTGCGGGTATACAAGAATCAAAAGTTATGGGTCTACTCCCTAGCTTCAGCTGTCCGGAAAGGACCATCCATCAAGACCAAGATCATCTTTGCTCTTGTCAGGGACACCATGTTGATCAAAGATGACACCCACCATGCCCTTGGCAAGATTGTTGGCTACATCACCAAGACCTTGAAATCTGGCTGTTTCCCAAGCCTAGACTATTCTGGCAAAGCATTTCGTGTAGGTTCCAAAGAAGCCCTCCGAGCTGGAACAAGGTACGCAGGACCCTGGTTTGGCGCATTTAGCGCATTCAAAGGGGATTGGGAGGCTCGCAGGGACATTCACCGAATGCAACGGCATTACAATGCGACTTGGATATGTGAACATTGCTTAGCCTCCCGGCAGGATGCATTCACCTTTGGTGACTTCCGAGAGGAAGCGGCCTGCCTGAGGGTGCGTTTTTCTCATGAGGATTTCTTGATGCTGAACAACCCGTCCAAACAGTCGAGTTGTGTGTGCGTTGAGGGATGGACCAAAGATAGAAATTTGGAAGACCCCAAGCTTTAATTCAGTCAATATGTCAGTACTTTTGTGTATTTGTGTATTTCCTCTTGGGTCATATGGGATACACGTCTTCTATAACCCAGTTCAACCAGACAAGGACATCTTACACGTTTTGCATCAAGGTGTCGCGTCCATTGTAATTCCAACACTGGTGTGTGCACATTTGGAAGCAAAGTATCTCAACCTTACACTGAAAGAATTGGACAGCAGACTACAACGCGAAGTGTTTACCCATTACACACAATGGTGTAGGATGAGGGGGAACCACATCACATCGCGCTCGCACAAATTCACTGCCGCTCGCTTCAACAAAGAGAAGTGGAGAGATGTTCCTGAGTTAGGATCCATCTACAAGGCATCTGTTGTGAAATCCATGCAATTCTGGTGTGCTTCGTACCTGCGGGAGAACATGTCGACAACACCAGGAGGGCAGTTTCGAGCATACACCATGCACGCGTTCGCGAAATTTCAGCGGCGTCTAGACCTGACTGGACCGTTCTTTACTCCAGAGGGGACTGCAGAAGTCACCAAGTATGGCCGCATTGCGTTGCTTTGTTTTCAAGAGCTGACTGCCCAAGACTACAGAAGAACGGACCAGCGGAGGGGGTTCAAGTTGACACCAAAGTTCCACCCGCTACTGGAGATGCTTTTGTACATCAGTTCAACGAACAGGAACGTAAGGCCTCTTCAATTTGTTGTTCAAAAAGTTTTGGATAGTTTTGGTCTTGCATTCTGGTAGCTTCGGCCCCTAACTTTATAGCCGTACCAATTCCAATCCCTCGAACTAATCTCATCTGAGGTGGGAAAGTTGCTACCAGGATGAAGACCTGATGCAACAGGTCAGCAAGATCGCCAGCAGGTGTCATCCATTGACGATGGAACGCGTGTGTCTTGAAAGGTATGCTTCGCTTTTGGAGTTGTTTGTGACCTTCTGAAAGTAGGTCGACCCAGCGCCCGAATTCTGAAAGAATCTCGGGAACCCGGCCAAAACATGGCCATCGAGCACAGGCAAAGCGCATGTGGAAATGAGATTGGGTGGGGGAGTCCGTGCATGCATGTTCAGTGCATGCATGCATGTGTCATTGGGCTAGAGGGGTTGAACAGCCACCCTATGGCCCTACTAACCTATATCCCATGTACCACTACATGGGTCTAGGTTGTTTGCGCTGATCATGTGCTTTTCAAAACGCCACCGTCGAGCCGCACACACACAAACCTCTCGTCGAGCCGCGCACACTTAAGCCTCTCAAAACAAACTGCAAACGAAACATCGTTTTTGAAACACCCCCTTTAAAAATAGACATATATATATATATATTAGCGTACTATGCTCATGAGCATAGTACGCTAAGCATGGTCTGCTCGAGCTTTTGTGGAACTGATCAATGAATGACATTGACTGGCAACATTCATGTTGCACTATGTGAGCTCATTGCAGGGCTGATATGAGGAATTGGCAGTGAATGGGTGTAGCTACCCTTGGTAGTGGAGTGATATCACACGGTGCCAAAGTGTGGGGGCAGCAGCTCCCAAACCGGGAGGCTTACATTGTAAGCCTTTAAGTGCATGCCCACGTAAAGGCTCAAAGGATAAGCCTCTTGGCTGTCTAGGATTGGTGGGACCCTATTGAGATTCACGTCGCCCAGCAAAGTACTTGGCATGACCTGGACTATGATGCATGTGTGTTTGGTGGGGCCCGCAAAAAGTCCCAGCGCTTCAGGCACAACATTCCCGAGCTCGCAGCCTTGCCCGCTGTTCGTTGTGGACACATTCATGACCCTCGGGAGTGGTCCTCCCCAGTCGATGGAGGGTTTGC